CACACACACACACACAAAGAGTTGAGGAGATTAATATCCCAATTGCATTTAGGATTTTTAAACAAAACTCTAATGGGTTAACACAGAAGAGTCAGTGTCTGTTTTGTCAGATTCTGCCAAAAAAAAGCACAAACTGAGCTGCAGTAGAGCACAGGAATAACACTGGTGAGATCTTTAACTTTGGCTCTTCAGGGATTTCCAGTTGCTCCGTAGACATTCTGCTCTGTGTTTGTTCTTTCTTCAATCAGACAGTAGATTATAGTCCACTTTCTGTCAGAAGAAGCTCCTTGGGAGGGCCTGTCGTGAGAAAAATACGCCTCCATCTCAGTGGGACTATATGATGAAGGCTCCTTGACGGAAAAACAAAATGGTAAGACGTCGTTTGAACTCTAGGGTATGATTGGGTTTGGCTCTTTACCCTCCTCTATAAATTTCCATGAACCAAAGCTTCCCACATTACAAGCTTGGGAAACTGTGAAGATTGAGTGAAGTTGTCACATGATCTTCTGAAACGATGGATGCACACGACTTGATTGAATCCCTCATCAGAGCATTCATGTTTCTGGCAGGGATCCTGGGAAACAACTGGCTGGCTATACGCTCCCTGCCCGGGTGGAAATCTGGCATACGCACCAACGAGGTCCTTTTCATCAACCTTGCTGTCTCCAACCTCATCACCAACTACCTGGTGGACCTGCCCGACGCCATGGCAGATTTCGCTGGACGTTGGTTCCTGGGGGAAACCTTCTGTGGCGTGTTTCGTTTCTGTGCTGACCTATCTGAAACCAGCAGCATCTACACAACCTTCTTCATCAGTGCTTTCTGGCACCAGAAGCTTGTCGGCTCCCTGAAACGAGGAGGTGCACCGGTGCGGCTGGATAGCCTGCGCTTGGTGGGTTGTCTGTTGGCTGGGAACTGGATGGTGGCTGTGGTTTTCAGTATCCCACACTTCTTCTTTGTCACAGTGGAAGGGGGAAATGAGAGCTACGATGACTGTGTAGAAGTCTTCCCCAACGCAGTCGCCAGGAAAACCTATGAGATCTTTTATTTAACCCTGGCTAACGCTCTCCCTGTTGCTGGGATTGTATTTGCCAGTGTCCAGATTGTCATCACTCTGCTCCAAAACCAGCAACGCATAAACAGTCATAATACTGACACTACCAAGGAGATGGTTAAGGATGAAAACAAGAGCACTGAAAACAGAAATGATAAGTCAGTCAGTGCTGTTAATGGTCCAGACCCCTCAAAAGATCAGAAAGATTCTGCATCCCCAGCCCCTGTTTATATAGGTGTGCCTGCGTCTTCCTGTCCAAACGGAGAGCTGCTGGGTCACGGCTCCAACAGCTCTCCCCTCAACAGGGAAACGAACACAGACAGCAGAGTTGGAGCTCCACCAAATCTTTCAAGGCCCAGCCAGATGCCAGCTAAGCCGAGTCCGGGCTCAAGCTCTCAGGTGAGGGCAGCCAAGAGCGTGGTGGCTGTAGCCAGCGTGTTCCTGGTCTGCTGGCTGACTCATCTGCTTCTGCGCATCACTAACAACATCCACACCTCGCCGATAGTGGTGGAGGTGGCCAGCTATATCGCAGCCTCCTACACCAGCATCATCCCCTACATATTCCTGTACGGAGTGAAAAAGCTTTCTTGCCCGTGCAAAAGATAGAAAAGTGTGCATGACATTTAGCTTTTAATCTTGGACCTAATGCGTGGTTATGTATGTCTGATCTTCACTGTACTGCTTCTTTCATCTAATTCTCAAGAGATCCTAAATCCTCTATTGTTTGTCACTCAACCACTCAGAAATGTCGTCCTACGTCATTTTTCTCACATTATCTTTAACCTGTTATTAAAAATCTGTCAGGATTGGCCCTTCGAAAAATAAAAGGATCCATTGGTTGTACAATAATCTGTAGAAGAGATGGGAATGAAAACATGTGGCTTAAGTGCAAAGCTCTCTGTCAATTATGAGCTAATCTGCTATCATTACAATTACATGCTTTACTTTAGAGCTTTAAGTCATCTCTCAAGCACAAGTATCAAACATTTCCTCACTGTGAGGATTTGCTGCAGGGTTTTTATTTTTTTTTTTGCTATTTTAAACCAGACATGGAATTTATGTCCATACATATATTTATTGAGGAAATAAGCTGCAGGTTAATAGATAATGAAAACCATTATTAGTTGCAGCCCTACACGTTTTATCACCTTACATATCACCCCTGCTGCTTCTGCTGTTTTCTCAAAAGTTGTAAGTCTTTAACTTTACTTTGACATAAATGTAAGAACAGAAATGAGGGGAAAGCAGTATTTTAACTCATTTTAAACAAATAACATTTAAACCGTATCCCCTTTGCATCATTTATGTCTGTTAGAGTACAACATACATGATATACTATAAATGTGTTATTTTTGCTTTTTACCTCATTTCATTGCTTTGGCACTTGTTCAGTCTTTCACATCTCAACTATGAATGACCGTGTAACTTTATTTTGAAAACCTATGTAAAATAAAGTTTATATTCATAAACCAAACACATGAATCACACTGCAGCACAAATGTATTCTTGCTACATGTTGTGCACAAAGATGCTTAAACTCACATAAACTAAACATTTTAAGTGACTCGCTTCATGAATTTTAATGAATTTCTTGTTAAATCAGCATGTTGAGCAGGAGCATAATGTGTGGTGGAATAATTCACAAGTCTAACTTTGTGATGATGCGCTTAAGTTAGTTTAATTTGATAGGAGTGGGATTGTTCACACTGATTGTATTATTAGCTGACGTCTTCCGTGGTAAATGTTATGTATGGTATACTTTTTTGGTACTTGTGTAAGTGTACTGACTCACTGACTGACGCAGAGAAATCAACACAGCATTATTAAAAATTGTTTTATTTTTCATGGGGCTAGAAATTAAACATAATTGTGTACCAGAGTGCACAGCTAATTGGAGAAAAAGATGTTTAGCAATCACTGCCCTGTTGGTGATGACTGTAAGAAACCCTGAGTGCCATTTTCAATTAAAGATAATTACATAAACACAGTGACGACACTGAGTCCCATTATTTGACACCCTCTGCAGTGTCACATTATCAGCCCGCAGCAATTTAATCCTCATTTCTGCTGTTAACCATTTGTTGAATTTAACACAAAACTGTGCCCGAGAACACAAGTTTGTTGGTTCACAGGTAACAACTAGTTTCTGTAGTGTTTTCAAAAACATCCCTGCACACAAAAGCAATGACAAGTTTTATTTCTTTATAAAAATGTTTTATAATTTTTTCCTCAACGCAGGCCAAAGTTTTCAGTTTAGTACTGTGAACTGCACCATGTTAAAAAAAAAAATATTCTACACTCAAAACAATCACATTAGCACTCATACACAACAGCACTGTTAAATTTCTCACCCAAGTAGGAAAAATGCACACTGTAAATAATACACAAGAAAAAAAAAAAAAATTTCAGTGTGTGTGCATGACCTTTGGCAGAAGAGATGACATTATGGCCACGGTATGTACATAATTACAACATCCAACGCTGAACTGTTTGTTTGGAGGCAAATGTAGAACAATCAAAATGATTCCCCTGTGATCAAAAGGCTTTAGTCAGGTATATTTACCAAGTGAACTCATAAAAACTTTCCCAAATCAATCGTCTCGTATAAGTGCAGTTTCAATATATGAAAACTGAGTGATTTCATGTCTTTATAAAACACAGGCAACTGAAATATCTTGTCGTATCTGACACAGCTATTTGCACACAATGCAAATAAGCAACAGTGTCTTGCTTTCCAAAGTTGTATTTCAGCATAATGTTTAGACTTATAACAAAATGTATTAAATAAGTTATAAAACTTGTATCCTCGGTCTCATCTTTATCAAAACACTTCACTGCCAACTGCTCCGACCGGCCCTTAACAACAAGCACTTGTCAACCTGCAACATATCACGCTGAAGAGAAAAAGGGGTGTGCTGATTATGTACTCGTGCTTTTAATCAGCTATTTAATTAAGGCCAGCAGTGCAAGATCCAGAGGTCACCTGTCCCTTGTCCTGTGAAGAACGTTATTAGTAACATCAGTGGAGCTTCTCCAGCTTCGCCTGCAGCGACTTGAAGTTGCCGATGGTTTGTTGGAGGGCCGAGTTTGGGCTCAGAGACTGCAGCTCCACAAGGTATCCACAGATGTTGTCAAGACAAACGTTAGTGAATCGGCGTCTGAAATGGAGGGAAAACAAGCTGTTAAATGGACTTTACTGCGGTTTTACTGCAGGTTTTGAGAATTTCAGTAACACACTAGGCACCTTAATGAAGCTAATATGGTATTTAAGCAGTAGTCAAATCAAATAGGGATGTTCCAGTTTGTCTTTTAAGTGCAAACTGCTAGCTTGCTGAGCTGTGGTGGAGGGAGAGTAACACAAAGAGGGACATTTGTACTAAAAGACTGTAAGTTTGGTAGATATCCAGTTGATTTTGGTTAAAGCAGCTGAATCCTCATATTGGGATGCAGTCTGCGTTTTTACACAGAATAATGACTGGATTTCTTCCCAGCCAGTATGGACAGGAGGAACAATTACAGAGACCAGTAGGGATGAACCGATTGGGAAATTCTGGTGTGAAACCGATGTTTAAAATAACAATGTGGCTGATGATGTTTTTGTTGCTATTTATTCACCATTTTGTGCCAGGAAAACAAAGAAATCTACAAAGATAAGCATATATGCCTTGTTGCAGCTCAGTCTATTTCTATTCTCATCCAAGATGTGAGATGCAAAGCTGAACAGCAACTGATTGTGGAGCACATCGGTATTTTTGAGCCAGTGCTGGAAAACGGAGGTGATTATCTCCAATATTTGTATTGGAAATAACCAACACATCCTTTGGCCAGCGTAAAATTGATGCAACACAAAACATACCACTAATATTGGTGAATGCCAGCTTATTTGCCAATAAGCAGATGTCAGTCGACAAGGCAAATATAGGCTGATGTTGGGCTGATATATTGGTGCATCCCTAGAGACCAGTAAACCATTCAGTGTACATATGGGCATGTGAGTATTGTTTTCAGACAGATGACAAATGTGAACCTATCCTTAAAACAAACAACCCCCAGCTTCGGGTAGTTCTGACGCAGAGCTATCGGACTTCACAGAGCAATGATCACGACACAAACAATAAGCATCAAGCTTGGACAAACCTTAGAGGGCATTTGGAGTTTTAGATATGTCTGTCTAGTGTCTCTGACTGCCTGAATGTATCTGCTGTTGATGGCACACAACTGATTGACAGAAATGATGTGTTGCCTAGAAACAGCAAAAATGCCTCTCGCTGAATTTTTGCTGCCCTCACTGGAGATGCTGTTTTTCTAGATTTTAAGGTTCATTGAACTAACCATGGTTTTTAAGCATTCTTCCTCCTGTGTACACAGTGGAAGGGTTAGAAGAGCAGCTTATAATAAAGTGAGTGAAGGGGAGGGTTCTTGTCTTCTAAAGGGCAGTTTGGCAGGATACATTCATTTTCACAGGGATTTTAGCCTGCGACGATATGCTCATGCTCATGTCTCTGTGAACACAAGGCCAACACTACGGCGCCAACTACAGACCAGCAGCTGAACAGCAACTCAGACAGTGATTACCTGTCATAGGTTGGTACTCTGCTGGGATCATCCACATATCCTGACAGCAGCACATGGATGCACTCCACCAAGTGGAGAGGTTTCTTCAGCCGCTGCCAACAGGGATCCTGCAGGTCGATGGATCAAGAGACAATTTAATTCCTCAATCCGCAAAAGCTGCAACTGCTGCTTATAATTGTGTACACTCATTTGAATGACTGAAAAAGTCACGCATTGAAACTTTTATCTGTACCCGAGTTTTGAAGAGTTGGTCATAGACCTCCAGAAGACGCGGCAACTGCACTCCAATCTCCTGCATGGTGGAGGTGACGAAGCCCACGTCCCAGTTCAATCGACACACCTCCTGCTCCAAAAACTTCACTAGGAACTCTACAATCACAGGACACGTCAGCACTTATTACACTGCATACTCATCAATTTGTTCATTGCTGGGGAAAACGTGTTCTCTGATGTCTGATTCTGTACCAGTACCAAGGATGGATAGAAAATGAATCATTGTCTCCACAGAGGGGACAAGTTTGAACAGGCTGGTTTTAATCAGAGGATAATTAAGCAATCACCTCGAGCACCAGTGTGACCGTGCAGACCTGTACCACAGAGACATGCTTATATAAATGACGCAAAGGGGATAACTAATTATATTATTGTTAACAAAACAGTAAACAGCAAGCTGGAAAATTCTAACAAGAGGAAAACTGAACATAATTGCAGCAGGGTATGAATGCTTACCCAGAGGGAAATATCTTGGTGTTCCAGCATAAATCTTCCCCAGTGATACCAGTTTCAAACTGAGAGACCTCATCCTGTCTATTGGACTCATGGCCACGCTGTCTCCCAGTTCTAGAAAAGACAAAGTTATCACTGACACGTCACATACCAGCATGTGAAGGGCATTTTCAAAAATGGTTTCGGGGCAATTTTGTTATTTTAAGAGGTGTTGACATTTCACTTGCCTTTCTCCATGATCTCCTGCCACAGCGAGTGCACCAGGATTGGGTCAGAGTGTCCTGCACAGTGAATGATTGCCAGCT